TGGTGTCATTGGGAGGAATAGTGCCCCATCATTGGTGTCAGTGGGAGGAATAGTGCCCCATCATTGGTGTCAGTGGGAGGAATAGTGCCCCATCATTGGTATCAGTGGGAGGAATAGTGCCCCATCATTGGTGTCAGTGGGAGGAATAGTGCACCATCATTGGTGTCAGTGGGAGGAATAGTGCCCCATCATTGGTGTCAGTGGGAGGAATAGTGCCCCATCATTGGTGTCATTGGGAGGAATAGTGCCCCATCATTGGTGTTAGTGGAAAGGAATAGTGCCCCATCATTGGTATTAGTGGGAGGAAATAGTGCCCCATCATTGGTATCAGTGGGAGGAATAGTGCCCCATCATTGGTGTCAGTGGGAGGAATAGTGCCCCATCATTGGTATTAGTGGGAGGAATAGTGCCCCATCATTGGTGTCAATGGGAGGAATAGTGCCCCATCATTGGTATCAGTGGGAGAATAGTGCCCCATCATTGGTATCAGTGGGAGGAATAGTGCCCCATCATTGGTGTCATTGGGAGGAATAGTGCCCCATCATTGGTGTCAGTGGGAGGAATAGTGCCCCATCATTGGTATCAGTGGGAGGAATAGTGCCCCATCATTGGTATCAGTGGGAGGAATAGTGCCCCATCATTGGGTCAGTGGAAGGAATAGTGCCCCATCATTGGCGTCAGTGGGAGGAATAGTGCCCCATCATTGGTGTCAGTGGGAGGAATAGTGCCCCATCATTGGTGTCAGTGGGAGGAATAGTGCCCCATCATTGGTGTCAGTGGGAGGAATAGTGCCCCATCATTGGTGTCAGTGGGAGAAATAGTGCCCCATCATTGGTGTCAGTGAGAGGAATAATGCCCCATCATTGGTGTCAGTGGGAGGAATAGCGCCCCATCATTGGTGTCAGTAGGAGGAACAGAGCCCCAAGGGCTGGATAAAGACAACCAAAAGGCTACATCCAGCCCGCAGGCCGCAGTTTGGGGACACCTTCTGTACAGCAATGGCTGCCATCCTTCCCTTAGAACATATAATAAGCAGAGATCATTTTGTCTGAAGGTGTCATTGGAAATCATTCAGCCGCCTTAACATGAGCACTGAGGATACAGCCTCTCTGTAAAGTGTACCTGTCACATCGCCGCCCCTTTTCTTGGCCGAGCCATTATCTGGTTAACGTATGATGTGTGTGCTAACAAACGCAGGCGCTGTATAAATACAAAGCGGCTTCCAGGTTCAACGTAAGCCACTGATCCTGAGGCAATCCCAAGAGGACTTAACGCTTCAACCCGGATATATGAAAAGCTGCGGTGCTGCCACAAGTATATTCAGCTTACATGCTGCCCCAGGCGTTAAGGAGCAAGCCGTCCATTCATGCCGCACTCCATCCATTCAGGTCCCGCCCACATTATACGATTAGAGGGTCAGTCCGCCAAGCCATGTCCTTTGGCACATCAGCGGTGATTTTCAGCCCTGTGACTATTTTCATTTACAATCAGCTGCCGTTATTGAAAATAATGGTCATTATCAGAGCGAAAAAAGAAAATATAGCTTAGGGATTAGAGCCATGAAATGTAAAGTCAGAATGCGCACTGAAATCCGGAACAACGTTTGTTTTCGCCCTGCGGCCAATTCCTCTACAGCCTGGAGAGAGGTGATGGCTGTGTGCTAATTGGTCTACAGAGAGTCTTGTGACCCCTCCAGGCACAACCTTCCCCCCCGGCCCCCTTCTGCCGCTGGAGCTCCCCACCAGCATGTAGAGGTGACAGGCACAAAAAAGGGATTCCAAGGGAGAGACATCTCTACTGCTTTAGGCATGGCCCCCAACTGCCCCCAACTGCCCCACATTTAGAGGAACTGTCCCTCCTTCAGATTCATAGATTTATTTTTGTCTTTTATTATTCCTCTTTATTATTCCTCTTTATTATTCCTCTTTATTATCTCTCTTTTTTGGTCTGATGTACAGACCTCTGTGAAAAAAATGACTATTTCACTACCAAAAGTGATTTACTACACTGAACTTTATGTCCATATCTTGAAACATTTGCAACATTTGTCCTTTATTTGGGAAAGTCCCTATACAGGACAAGTAATGGCGAAAAAAAAGTACTTTAGGGTGTAACCAATCATTTTTTTGTATGGATTTGCTATAGTCCACATACCTGGAGGCATGGCAGGGTGCATCCTTTGCACTATAAAAGGTGTTTATCCTCTTATCCTAAACCCTGTGGCACTTTGGCACCCTTTGGGGGCCCTCGGGGCCCCTGAAGGTGTTATCTGTGTTTCCCTATTGCCCTGTTAAAATACATTTCTAGCAGCCTTATGTAATATGTCTTCAGTCTATGACTGCGTCCTGAAGCATGTCCACAGTCTCTGAAAGTCTCTGCAGTCTCTAATCATCTGTATCATGTCTACAGTCACTAACCATCTCCTGTTAATGTCTATAGTCTCTGACCATCTCTTGTATCATGTCCACAGTCTCTACCCATCTCCTGTTCATGTCTACAGTCTCTGACCATCTCTTGTATCAAGTCTGCGGTCTCTGACAATCTATTGTATCAAGTCTGTGGTCTCTGACAATCTCTTGTATCATGTCTGCAGTCTCTGATCATCTCTTGTGTCATGTCCAGTCTCTGACCATCTTTTGTATCATGTCCAGTCTCTGACCATCTCTTGTATCATGTCTGTAGTCTCTGACAATCTCTTGTATCAAGTCTGCGGTCTCTGACAATCTCTTGTATCAAGTCTGCGGTCTCTGACAATCTCTTGTATCATGTCTGCAGTCTCTGACAATCTCTTGTGTCATGTCCAGTCTCTGACCATCTCTTGTATCATGTCCAGTCTCTGACCATCTCTTGTATCATGTCCAGTCTCTGACCATCTCTTTTATCATGTCCGCAGTCTCTGACCATCTCTTGTATCATGTTCATGTCCACAGTCTCTGACCATCTCTTGTATCATGTTCACAGTCTCTGACCATCTCTTGTATCATGTCTGCAGTCTCTGATCACCTCTTGTATCATGTCCACAGTCTCTGACTATTTCTTGTATCATGTCCAGTCTCTGACCATTTCTTGTATCATGTCCAGTCTCTGACCATCTCTTGTATCATGTCCACAGTCTCTGACCATCTCTTGTATCATGTCCAGTCTCTGACCATCTCTTGTATCATGTCTGCAGTCTCTGACCATTTCTTTTATCATGTCCACAGTCTCTGACCATCTCTTGTATCATGTCTGCAGTCTCTGACTTTTTAAGTTTTAAAGAACGATCATGTAGTTACAGCAAGGCAACGTTTCGTAGTCTTGCACAGCCTGATGAAGGAGTCCTGCGAGACTACGAAACATTGCCTTGCTGTAACTATATGATCATCCATTAAAACTTTTGGACCCGTACTGGTGATCCTCAGTGTGCTGGTGACCAGGGGCAGACTGACCATTTGGAAACTCGGGCACTGCCCGAGGGCCCGGGGTCAGTAGGGGGCCCCATGAGATGCCCTTGGTACCTTTTTCATAGGCTTTTTTGAGTTTGGGCAAGGACACAGGGGCCCCATGATCCCCTATTGCCCGGGGGCCCCATGAGTTGTCAGTCCGCCCCTGCTGGTGACCTTCTCCCTTGCTCGTTAAAGAGGCTTCCCATCACATCTAGGAAATGAAGGGAAATTTCTTCGATAGAGACACAGATAGTAATAACAACCCGACAGATGTTGGGCTTTAAATGATTAGACAGGGTGTGTCCTGGTGACAAAGAAAAGGAGACATTAAAATATTGATATCGCACATGGCAACCAAGATTGAATATAAAACAGCGAGCCTGCCATTATCTCCGACCTGTCCTCCGTCGCACGCACGGCGTCCCCCCATCAAAGCGGGTTACACTCCAAGTAGCGGCTGCGGAGGTTGTCAGCACAATTACCCGCGCTCAGGCAGGCCTTGTCAAGGGTTGTCTGATAATAGGTTTAGGAGCCGAATCTAAAACACATATTATCACGCTGAACTGTAGTTATGGTTCACCTCTAAACACAGCTTACCGAGCGTCTGGGCGTCCATTTTGCTCTATGCCACTTTTAAATGGCTGCACGAGCTGTCACTCGGGGACTGGCGTGAACATTTTCAAATCGCTCTGATCGTCGTTTTTTTTTTTTTTTTTTTTTTCCATCGGGTCCCTTGGAAACCACTGCTTGACTACTTTCATTATTTGATAAATGTAATAGATTTTCACAAATGTTACTCGATAAAAAAAAAATAGGCAAAGCGGGAAATCAAGCACAGTAATAAAGTAGAAGGTCTCGTGTACACTGCGCTTTTTTAATCCAGCAGTAAGGCGTGTCCGGCGTGTTAGCTCATATGTCCATTCAAACATAGGCCTTTAACCCCCTCCCACCCGCCCTATAGTCCAATGACGGGCGCAAGGTGGTTCTCTCGTTCTGACTGGCCGTACTTTGACGGCCTTCCATTCTCACCGCGCATGTGCGACTCAGGGAGTGCCCATCGCGGCGATCGGCGGTGCGCTGGGTCCCTCGGACACAGCGGATCACCGATCCATGGAAAGAGCCGAAGATGTTGGCTCGGTCATGCGATCAGCTGTGTCCAATCACATGTAAACATGGAAATGCCGGTTATCGTCATTTCTCTCCTCTCGAGCGGTCACGCTGACAGGAGAGAGGAGAGCTGGTAATCGGCATTCCGCAGAGGGGACATGTACACTGATCATCAGGGCACTGATGATCAGTGTGCCCTGATGATCAGTGTGGCCCCAGACGTGCCACCTGTCAGTGTCCATCAGTGCCAGCTGTCATTGCTGAACAGTGCCACCTGCCAGTGCCCATCAGTGCCACATCAATGCCACATATCAGTGCCTACCAGTGCACATCAATGCCACATATCAGTGCCCATCTGAACTGCCCTTCAGTGTCACCCATCAGTGCCAGCCAGTGCCACCTATCAATGCCAATCAGTGCCACCTATCAGTGCTGCCAATCAGTGCCACCTATCACTATCAGAGGCTCTCACTTTATGACGATGAAGCGGGGCGGTAATTGTCTGGGTTTACCCTCCAAAATCATACAGAGTGTGTCCCTGTCGTTTGAGAGCATAGACAACGTCCATGGCGGTGATGGTCTTCCTCTTGGCATGCTCATTGTAGGTGACGGCATCGCCGATGACATTCTCCAGGAAGACTTTGAGCACTCCGAGGGTCTCCTCATAGAGGAGTCAGGAGATGCACTTGACTCCTCCTCTGCAGGCCAAACATTGGATGGCGGGTTTGGTGATGCCCTGGACATTGTCCCGGAGCACCTTCCTGTGGGGCTTAGCACCGCCTTTCCCCAGACCCTTCCCTCCTTTACCACGACCAGACATGAGGACTCTTTTCTGCTGCAAAGACGAGGGCTCTCACCATATGACCCAAGATGATGGGTCTGAGGAGAAGGTGGCTCTGAGGAAGAGGCAAGTCCTCAAAACGTGTCAGCCTGTTGGAGGTCCAGAGTTCCCATTACGAACGCAAATGTAGTGCGGATTAGACTGAGCTGTTCCTACAAGATGTACCTTGGACTGTATTGTCATTTTGTGAGTACAATACCTACTTTTATTATTTAATAAACACATTTTTTAAGGTAATAAACTAGGCCGGTGCGCCCTCTTTTTGTTTTTCTTGACCCAAGATGATGCCTGAACAAGGATGGCTCTGTTTCTAGGAATATTGTGATACGGGCCGGGCCATGTCCCAAGATCAGAGCATCAACCATTACTCAAAATGACAGTAACTGTTGGAATTTGGGCAGCATTGGTGGTCATTGCATATTTAGAAAGGAACAACTGGTAAAGTGGGTGTGATGGGCAGTCCAAGCATATTCTGAGGTGGGGTCTGGGTGGGACCTGAACAAGGATGGCTATGTCTCTAGGAATATTGTGATCTTTGTGAAACGGGCCGGGCCATGTCCCAAGATCACAGCATCAACCATTACTCAGAATGACATCCACTGTTGGAATTTGGGCAGCATTGGTGGTCATTGCATATTTAGAAGGGAACAACTAGTAAAGTGGGTGTGATGGGCATTCAAAGCATATTCTGAGGTGGGGTCTGGGTGGGACCTGAACAAGGATGGCTCTGTCTCTAGGAATATTGTGATCTTTGTGATACGGGCTGGGCCATGTCCCAAGATCACAGCATCAACCCTCTTTTTGTTTTTCTTGACCCAAGATGATGCCTGAACAAGGATGGCTCTGTCTCTAGGAATATTGTGATACGGACCAGGCCATGTCCCAAGATCACAGCATCAACCATTACTCAAAATGACATTAACTGTTGGAATGTGACCAGAATTGGTGGTCCTTGCATATTTAGAAGGGAACAACTAGTAAAGTGGGTGTGATGGGCAGTCAAAGCATATTCTGAGGTGTGGTCTGGGTGGGACCTGAACAAGGATGGCTCTGTCTCTAGGAATATTGTGATCTTTGTGATATGGGCTGGGCCATGTCCCAAGATCACAGCATCAACCGTTTTTGTTTTTCTTGACCCAAGATGATGCCTGAACAAGGATGGCTCTGTCTCTAGGAATATTGTGATACGGACCGGGCCATGTCCCAAGATCACAGCATCAACCATTACTCAAAATGACATTAACTGTTGGAATTTGGGCAGAATTGGGGGTCCTTGCATATTTAGAAGGGAACAAATAGTAAAGTGGGTGTGATGGGGCAGTCAAAGCATATTCTGAGGTAGGGTCTGGATGGGACCTGAACAAGGATGGCTCTGTCTCTAGGAATATTGTGATCTTTGTGAAACGGGCCGGGCCATGTCCCAAGATCACAGCATCAACCATCACTCAAAATGACAGTAACTGTTGGAATTTGGGCAGCATTGGTGGTCCTTGCATATTTAGAAGGGAACAACTAGTAAAGCGGGTATGATGGGCAGTCAAAGCATATTCTGTGGTGGGGTCTGGGTGGGACCTGAACAAGGATGGCTCTGTCTCTAGGAATATTGTGATCTTTGTGAAACGGGCCGGGCCATGTCCCAAGATCACAGCATCAATCATTACTCAAAATGACAGTAACTGTTGGAATTTGGGCACCATTGGTGGTCATTGCATAATTAGAAGGGAACAACTGGTAAAGTGGGTGTGATGGGCAGTCCAAGCATATTCTGAGGTGGAGTCTGGGTGGGACCTGAACAAGGATGGCTCTGTCTCTAGGAATATTGTGATCTTTGTGAAACGGGCTGGGCCATGTCCCTAGATCACAGCATCAACCATTACTCAAAATGACATTAACTGTTGGAATTTGGGCAGAATTGGGGGTCCTTGCATAATTAGAAGGGAACAACTAGTAAAGTGGGTGTGATGGGCAGTCCAAGCATATTTTGAGGTGGGGTCTGGGTGGAACCTGAAAAAGGATGGCTCTGTCTCTAGGAATATTGTGATCTTTGTGAGGTGGGGTCTGGGTGGGACTAACCAGTAAAGAGGGTTTGATTTGATTGAGGGGTGATTTAGGTGCTCCCACCCAGAAAGCGAGAAAATGCAAACAATGGGCAGAGTTAACAGTAACTTGGGATCCAGGGCCATAATGTTGGTAAGTATGCCTTTTATTGTACATAGAAAGCATGGCCTGGGAGAGCCCAAGGCTTACAGAAATTTATTTTAGTAGACCAATGATGGTATTCCTGTAACTTTTTTTCTGTTGATGAGCCCACTTTAAAATGTTCCCCTTTAATTTACACCAAAATCCTTGGAAGTACATTGTCTACATCCCCAACCTTCCTTCTCAGCAAAATGTTTACATTGAAACGACAAATAATTGTCATCCCTTCTTCTAAAAAGATAACCTTGGCTCTGACGTTGGGCCGGGTAATTAAAGCTCCGTCCTGTACTGACCTTGTCTTTCCCTATTAGATATGACACAATCAAATGTAACCTCCCACCCGCATAACGAGCTGGGACAATGCCCACTGCGCAAGAGCCCTTTACAGATCCGAGACCTCGTTCGCCAGCCTTGCCAAGCATGTCCTAGCAGCTGCATGTAAATAGCCAGTCACCGGGGCCTGGTTAGTGGAAAATCGGTGACACATGTTTACTTGATGGGCTGTGAAAAGAATTGAAGTTGGACGGGATTAACCACAGAATCAAGAAGGGTTAAAAAAAAGTAGCTGCACATCGCGCTTCAATTAGAAGAATTATCCAGTATTAAAAAAAACACCAATCTGACCTCCAAAATGTCCTCCTATATCTTCCAAAACCATGTTACTGCAAAGCTGGCCATACACGGCAGTATGATAGAGCCATCAAACCTCTGGTTCCAATTTTTGCCGAAATGCAAAGAAACCAAAGACATAAAATGGTAGTTCCAATGGGATTGAAACTTCCCTCTATGTAGCTTATGAAAAATTGGAGGTCTGTCGTTATTTCCTATCTGAGATAATGATATAAAGCAGGGATGTCAAACTAAATTTCATCACAGGTCGCATCAGCATTATGGTTGCCCTCAAGGGTTGGTTGTATCTGCAAGGCTAGATGTCCAGAGCACCCCACCCACCCACTCTTAAATCAGAGGTCAAGAACTCTCCCCACCATCAAAAGTCAACAGTCCCCCACCCTTCAGTACATCAAAGTGCATCCCCAGGGGTTTATTTACCACAAGGCAAACAAGGCATTTGCCTAGGGCAACATTTTTCAGGGGGGGGGGGGCAGCACTGCCCCTTGGAAGAAGGGACGGAAGAAGGGATACACGGGGCATGGGGACCTGGTGGGTTCTGAGAGAGGCTGTGGGTTTCATGACGGTGTATGCACAGCCCGACTCTCATTCCTGGGGATGTCTGAAACTGTCAAGGTGAGTGTCTTTCTCTCTCTCTCTCACCATGGGGGATGGCGTTGGGGACAGTGGTAGTGGAAGGCTCAGGTGGAGGGCAGGGGTGTTCTTGGTCAATGTCAGGCTCTTTCTGCGGGGATGGCGGGGGCAGCAATTTTTGTGTTGCCTAGGGCAGCACAAAACCTAAATACACCACTGTGCATCCCCCTTGTGCTGTTGCCAGGAAGAAGCCAAGGCCAGGGCTGCGGAGCAGAAAGTGCAGGGTCTCGAGAAAGACCAGAGGAGGGCAGGGGTCATCAGTCCCTGAATGTGGAGACCAGGGGAGCAAGGGATTAGGGGATGCTGCAGCTACACAGAGAGGTGCAGGATCTGTAGGAGTTCTGTCCTCCTCTCTGCTGCCAACTGCTGAGACAAGGGGGTGCTGCAGCTGCCGGAGAGGTGCGAGGGCCACGCGATATGGCCTAGTGGGCCGAATTCGGGCCGTCTGCCTCGTGTTTGCCAAATGATACCAAGGAACTGTAAGAATGGAAAATATTTGTCTAAAACTAAATCTGCAAAGGATGTTCCTCGCTTCCCTTCCATGAAGTCTGGAGGTATGCAGCAGTTGGGAAATTGGAATGTAAGATGCTACAGGAATGAATGTTTCTAGGCTCTATAAAGCTGTTAGCAAATTGTCAGCACTACATAATTACGAACAATGAAACAAAAAAACATAACATGATCTTAGTAACTGTTAGGTGTGCACACACTTAGCGACAGACAAGCTGTAAAAAACTAGAGAACGTAATAAAGAAGAGAAGTGTGGTCACACATGGTTGGTGGTGAAATGGGCAGGAGAACTGTCAGCAAATAACTGAAAAACAAACAAAGCTGACAATTAGCAACATTTTTAAAGCGTTGTTTGTATGATGCTTACTACAAAGATTTCTTCAAGGATGGCTTGAGCTGAAAATAGGTGATTTATTTGGAGGATATGGGATTTGTATGGGTATAGGGTTGTCTAATTTATGTGTTATTAATATTTATTTGCACCTTCCCCTGCTTCGTTTTGTGTATTGGATTATCATTTGTGTTCCATTGCTTTAATTTTTTTTTTCCCAAGTCCTTTTTTTTTCTTAGGTAAATAAGAGGCCTTTTTTGCAACAAGAATGGGTCATGTTCATTGAAAGGTGCTTCCAAAACGCTCAGAAGCTATTTAAAGCCAATTGCATTCTTAAAAAGTACCAAGAATAGCCTTTGTTTTCTCTTCTTTGTACACTATGGTGCAATTAAACAAAATTCTCACAATTTAAAATTTTGCCAAAATTTTGGACAAAGGAAAACTAAAAAATTTCACTTATCTTTACCTAAATGGTGACCATTTCATCAGCCATGAAAACTGTAAGGATGCTTGACTGTATGATATAACAGCACTTCTTGGATGATTACAGCAAGCAGAAGGCTCAGTGGGAATTTTTTCCACCTGCTGTATCTCGCTGCT